TATTTATAAAATGCCTATAATCCAATATGTTGTTGCTCTATGGAAATATACAAAATAAAATATAAATAAAACTATATAGAAACCATAACAACTAATGGGAATAAGCATATCAAGACGAGGATTTTAAAGAAACCAAAGAAACATCTATCAACATTCCGCAATTAGAATAAAATATGGTATGCAATTATAAAACGCAAACTCTGAAAACGTTTAAGCATTTAGCAATTAAAATAGCTTTTAAAATGATGGGTATTTAACTTTTTTGTTGAAAACAGACAAGGAAGGGGGATCTTTAACCTAGTTTAAAAGCAGCAAGATCTTTCACCAAACGAGGATTTTGTATGATAGGACATTGTAAGTTTTTATTTTGTGACCTTAGTGTGCTTGCAGGAATACATAAAGTGATGAGCTGTTTGAGGTTGCCAGATGAGTCTTCTATATTAATGATAGAGTATGTTAGAGTATTTTAAATTCCATTCAGCTAGTAATTGGTAACCAATGCAGTTTATATAAAATAGGGGTAGCGATATCAATCCACAGTTTTCTACTGACTGGGGATCTTTAAAATACATTAGCAATTTGAGAGGAAGTTGGTTTATCGTCTTAATTAGACTGGCGATGCCACACGAAGTTAATGGCTTGTACCAATTGATAAATTACAGCAAGCGAACAGGTTAATAGCTCCATGAGGAGTGTCATTAATATAAGTCGAATGTCTAAATTAAATATCTGAAAACAGATTTTTAGTGTTCCGCTTTTTTTCGCTTCTTTACTTCTTTGCTGCGAGGCGTTATGGGGTAACTTGTTTTCGATTAAATTTTCAGTTTAGCGTCCTACTGTTTTGCTTCGAATGGGCTAATGAAGACGGCATACGTGTAGTCTTTTACGCACACGCCAATGTGTAGGCGGAACCTTGGTTTTGCGTTGCATGGAAACGACTCTACGCTTTCCCTTGCCATGTACTCTGTCCCTCACCACTGACAAGGGGGGGGGGGCACACCGGAACATCCCGATGAACTTTGTAGGCCAACACCGGTCCGAACCCGAGACCTGAAGGTTGGGGGTCTGTGTATTACTCGCTCAGTTTTCCGGCGTGGTTGTTCTGGATGGGGCGAGAAACCGAGGTCCCGTGTACACATCGACGTGCACATAAAAGATCCCTTGGCAGTTTGAATTTGATTTAATTAGTAGGCCGTAGCACCGATGTCTGGTTACAATTTCCCTCATAGCACACTGTCATGGCGTATGCCCGTCTTCACTAGCCCAGTCGAACGTAGTAGGACGTTAAACCCCATTTCATTTCATTTACTCGCTGAGCCACCGTCGTTCCGTTAGTCGTTTTAGTTTCCATTGCAACATGAATGTCAGTGATTTGAGAGATATAGAAATATCTAGCAAACTAAAATATTGTATATGTTGAATCTCTTATGGTTTTCACAGACATTCTAAACTAATGCTATTTGTCTACAATTAACTCTTAGCTGGATGACCGACATTTTAAGTCCTAAATCGACTTAAGTATACTTCTAGAATTTTGAGATGTATTTATTCCACTTATTAATAAAATAATTGAAAATTGTATGACAGATAATTACTAATTTTTTGATATGGCGGCCATTCAGGGCCGAGATCCATTCTCGAAGTAGGTAGATGTCTATGTGTGCAGAATGACATAATGACCCGAAATTTCACGGCCATCATTGTTTTTTCGCAAATTCTAATTAATGGTCCGGATTTAAATTTGATTGACTCTATATGTTGAAATTATCTACCGTTGGTATTTTGATTATGTTTTCTTAATTAATATGCAATAATGTGTATATTGATCGTTAATATCAAATTCTCACGGCTTAAATCACGGTAATATGTATTCAGATTAACGACATGATTGTCTACCCCATCCAGTACCATCATGTCAGTTCTCAAGCTGAGCTAATTGTGACAAACAGCCTAACTGTCGAATGTGAATAAAGATCACCTTGTAAATAATGTACTTTATGAATCAGGATTACCACGTAACAACTTCATGACATACTCTAAATTATAGCCGATTAAAGTTAATCCTAACCCTATACACTGTGGTTACCAATGACCCTTTCATAATAAATAAGAACATTACATCCAATCGTGTCCTTTCCATTAGATGTATGGTTACTTACGCCATACAGTGTTTTATGGGGGGATTTTTTCCAACTTTCAAGGGTTATTTTATGTGCACGCAATTAATGTGAACACGAGGCCTCGGTTTATCTTCCCAGCCGAACGACTAGACCCTTTCCACCCTGCACCACTGACTAGGGAAAACCGGGCCGGTAAATACCAAGGAATTTTCACGGCGCACACGGGGAGCGAGCCAGCGTCTTGCTCATTGAGCCATTGAGTCCCCCGCGCCTTTCCATGCTCGCGGCTCCCCTCAGCAAGATAGTAAATGTAACTGTATGTACATCATATCATATTCAAACCAACATCAGACCTACCTGATTAGCCAGACCTACCTGATTAGCCAGACCTACCTGATTAACCTGATTAGCCAGACCTACCTGATTAGCCAGACTCAAAACACCAAATCAATTAGAGTAAGAGATTTTAACCGTTAAACTCCATGAAAACGAAGAAATATTTTTTTACGGATGTTTTAACGACTACATCTTTCCAAATTACCTAGCTGATTTATATCTCAGCAATTGTGTCGTTGATTTGTCTCAAATTGTGCACATGGTCGAATTTGAAATGAAATTGGTTTTAAGTTTTATGTACCGACAGCGCTAATTGAGACGGCATACTCCATGGAATGTGCTACTATGGAGGACCAAACAGCTCTTTATTCAGTTTTCTTAATTCTTAATTCATAGTCCTTAATTCTTATTTCTTCATTTGTTGTTGTGTTTCGATATTTATAAACTAAAATTGACATTTGTATCTTAAAATCAATATTTGGTTTATAAATCAGACATTTGTCATATTAGATTTGTAAATAGTATTAATCTAATTATAGTTTAATATAAAAATAAAATTTGTTTTAGAAAATAAAATAAAAATTAGCCAACGTTTACATTTCTTCATAGACATACAACGAAAAACACAATCTCGAAAAACAAATTTCCAAATACAAATCTCCAAATACGGATCTTGCAAAACATTTCTCCAAAACATTTCTCGAAATTCATCGAACCGGAAGATTATGACGACATGAGCTGAAACCAACCTAGCATACAATAAAAGTCACCATACAATCATAGGGAATCTAGCAAGCATATATACAATAATGAAATGAAAATAAAATGAAATGGGGTTTCACGTCCTACTGTTCTGCTCCGACTGGGCTAATGAAGACGGGCATACGGGCCTATGAGGGAAATTTTACCCGGGCAGCGGCACTATAGCCTACTCTTATATCGAATCCCAACTGCCAAGGGAACTTTTACGTGCATGCCAATATATACACGGAACCTCGGGTTTTCCTTGTCAGGCCCTCCGTCCTGCATCACTGACTAGGGGAAACCACATCGGGAAATCCCGATTAACTTTTATATACAATTAACAAAATCGATCAATGACCGTGACTACAGAGAAAGCACGTGCGTGGTATGGCTAATCGGGACTATCCTTCGATAAAGAAAATACATTGAAAGTAGTCTATTTTCAGTAATTAGGTTTGTGTCTGATAGCGACATATTTCTTTGCTGAAACGAAGGAGTGTCCCATCGCTTTTACTTGATTATGTAATGATGAATGTGCCAGGGAATAACTAATATATCGAAAAAGTGATAGACAAATAATTTCTAGTGATGCAGTAAACAATTACCTGTATTTAAATTTTACATCTACCCCCTCCACTAAATAGTACGTAAATGTCCACAAAAATAATTTTCATTTTTGAAAAGAGCAATAAAATACTTTTCAGTGGTAAATGAAAAAGCATCAGGAATTTCATATCAAGACCCGACGGTGCCAGAAAATAATTTACATGTTTGAAACGGTAAAGAACCTTCTTTTCAGTGGTAATCAGTGAGATATCTGGGTTGTCGTATTATGGTCCGTATTTTGACATTTAAGACCCCCCACCCCCCTTTAATAGAGTTTAGTAACCGTACAACTTTTCAAGTTATTTTCTAGCCCATTTATATTTACAAACCTTGAAAAACGATCAAAGTTTCACGGTACTAAACTTAATTAAGAGAGGCGAGGGGAGGGGGCGGGGATTTAAAGTCAAAATGTGGATCTTAATAAGAAATTCGTGATATCTGCTACAAAAATGTAAATTATTTTCTTGAACATTTATATTTTTACATACCTTGAAAAAAGAACAAATTTGAATGGCATCAATTTGTATTAAATGAGGGGGGGGGGCATCAAAATACGGGCCAAAACACGAAATACAAGATATCGGGATGCATACCATTAAAAAGAAGATCCATGTACCTTTTCAAAATTTAAAATATTTTCTGACATATTCATATTTGCATACCGTGTTAAAACAGATATAATTTGGATCGCCTGAATTATATTTAGCGAGGGGTTGGGGAGTAATTAAAGTCAAAATACAAATCTTAATACGAAATTCCAGTTATACTGTAATGCATCACCGGGAAGTATTTGTCTATCGCTCTCTGAATATGTGAGTATTAGCTATTATACTGTCACATTCATAATTACATAATTTAGAAAAGATAAAATCCTCTTTCGTTTGTGCAAAGAAATATGTCCCAATCAAAAAATAACCTATAATAATTACTAAAAATAGAGAATTAAGGACTATGCATTAAGAACTAAGAATTAGGAACTCTGTATAAAAAGCTGTTTGGTCTTCCATATGCTACGAGGGAAAGGTTGCCGACGCTGCAACACCAGACCCAATTTAACTATCCGTAATATCAAGTAAAATCGAACTTTTGTTGCTTTTTTTTCTATCAATTGGTAAAGATCTCTAAAGCGCTTTTACCATTTCAAATCTTGAAATTTAAATAAATTTAGAGAAAAAGAGAACCCCATTAACTTACCGCGTATAGATGTCCAAGAGTATAAGAATTAATCCGAGTGTTAGCCAAGAAGAGAATGAATTGGTTTATAACGGAGGTAACATTATGGATGATAGTGTGATATGATTCCTATGGGTATGATACAACCAATGTATACAATATCATATTCACTGATTCAATGACATCTCTTATACAGATCACAAACCACACGCATCACCATTAAGCCTCGGTCTCATATTGTTCGTCTGCTACATCAAACATTCAAAGGGCATTATCATGTTGAAAGAGAGAGATAGAGAGTGTGGGGAGAGACAGATTAATTGGCGGTCGTCTTAAAACACATTTAAATCTCGGTCATCATGGTCCTGTGAATAAATATCTAATTAATAGTGTATATAATATTTGAGGCCACGCGACAGATCTAAAATAGGGTAGATTTAGCTGTTTAATTATCGTTTTGATCATGTCAAATATGTTGTTTTACGACAATAAAAACATTTTATTGACTTTGTTAAAACGACATGAATTAGTTACAACGATCATAAAATTAATGTGGATTGAAAGAGAAATTCGTGATGGATTGATAATTAACTTGCCATACCAACAGAATGTCGGGCGGGGGTATATTCATAATTAACTTGCCATACCAACAGAATGTCGGGCGGGGGTATATTCATAAAGATAATTAACTTGCCATACCAACAGAATGTCGGGCGGGGGTTAGGGTTAGGGTCGGGCGGGGGTATATTCATAAAGATAAAGATGCTGAGGGTTAGGGTTAGGGTCGGGCGGGGGTATATTCATAAAGATGCTGATCGTTCTAGCGATAATATTTTAATAATAGATAATGAAAAGTGAATATATTGAAAGTTTCAGTCACGTTAATTTATTCTGATCGATTGTCAGTTACCATTGTTACGATAATATATCGAAAATATATCGGTTGCCATGTGATCCTCACCTAGAAACATCATACAAGCAAATGTTGTTATACAGTCTGAAAGTTTTAATTCATAAATGGGAAACTGCAGTGATTAATTAGTGAAAGTTATTACCAATATGCCCTAGATAGACAACACAGTCATTGATTTGATCCTGCTTAATTTCTATTGCCTTACATTGGATATTAATTCTGTTCGACATTTAATTAAGTAGTCTCGTGACAGAACAATACCTGAATAACCTCCAGTAATATCATCGATTATTAGTAAACGATATCGTTATATCGTTGGTTAATAGATATCAATACTGTTATATCAACCAATGTGGAACAAACTAATCTTACCTAAATACACAAACAAACACAACATGTGATTCAATTATCGCCCATAGCAAATTTAATTGGAACTAATCGCACGAACATTTTAATATCCATATAATCCAGGTTTCCAGCTATGTAGTTTTTATTGCGAGAACTTGGTTTTTCCACAGAAAATAAGAGGATTGTTTTCCCCACGTTTTTTTCTCTATTCGCACTAATGACACGAAACAAGAAGCAGTTGGACCTCCTGTTTTAACTTGCTTTTATCATGACAAAGGGAGAAGATGACCCATCCTCTCTTCTCACGTACAAATTTAACGTACAAATTCTCATGTGCAAGAACATTTTGTTTTTACTCATTTTCTTTTTTTATTATAAAACTCCTTGATATGTAAATAACTTAACTAAATCAACTTGTCCATACTATCATATTGTAATGTATTGGATGTTAAATCTGTAATAAACAACAACAACGATCACAGCTATTATGCAGTTTGTGTTGGTTTGGCAGGATGCAACATAGGGCTTCGATACCTATGGAGCCTCCACCCATGTTTGACACTGTTATAAGCCTTTCTCATGTCCGAATACAAGGCAACGATCCCAATACATTTGCATTAGATGGATATTTTCGCCGACAAACACCGCCAAAAAGCATACATAGAAACCAGACCTTACACGTACTGTAGTCTTAAACACCAGTCATCATCCTGGACTTCGAACAATTGTGTAGCAAAGAAACTTTCATTATACCTGAAGTCATGCTGGTAGGGCATTGGGAGTCTCCCCATAACTAAATGCAATAACCTTGGGTTTCGCATCGTCTAAACACAGAAATAAAATGGGGTTTAATGTCCTAGCCTGGTTGTTTTTGTGTTCAATGACACAACAACCTAGTGAAGATCATTACAAGAAGTATTATCAGTATAACATGATTATAATATCATAGAGTAGTTTAGTGGTTTGGGATGTTCTAGAGTGTCGCACTTTCATTCTGACAAATTAAAGATATGAATCATTTAGTTTTAACATTTTATTAATATTTAAGGTCTAGTGTCATAGATTTTATCCGGAAGGAATCAACCTGTCCCGGTTTCATAATTTTATTCTGTTTGGCACTAAACTCATTAAGGGGAGTAAAAAGAATACTATACATATTCTCTCACTTTCATTTGCCTGTCTAGCCAGTTTGTCATAATACAACGTTGTTATATGTTTGTCAAAATTGGACAAAAAAATGGATGTAAAAAATGTATTCATTAAATGCATGGAATCTCACTTTCAATATTTTTTGGTTCATTATAAAGAAGGCCACTTTAGAGAGTTATTCGAGACATCTTGTGTATTACATACTGAGAATAAACAAGTTAAATTACGCCTTAATCCCTGAAATTATAAAACGTTATATATATTTATGTGTGTGGTCAGATAAATAGGATATGTTAATATATTTTTCATTTACAATTAAGAATTGAGATGAAATATATTTTAGTTAAGTAACTGTCTCTGAAAAATTTACTTCGACACCCTAACTAGCCTCGAGAATTTTTGCTCTCTTGAGGTCGACGTGTTTCAAAGTTATTTGAAATAGATTTTTTATTTTGGGTCCAGAGCGAAACTTTTTACAATATGGTATTATTCTTTCTAATGCAATCTTATTTAACGTGATTTTAACAGGACGGTAAATCTCATTTCGACTATGTACATGTATATATTAACTTATTATTACTTATCACAGGTAACTTTTTAACTGGCCGGTCACCTCTGACTTGCGGTTGTAGTTTCCATTCCTGGTGTGAGCGTATGTGGCTTGGAGACAGAGGCGCATTCTCAGCTTCGTGGGTTTACTCCGGACACTCCGGTTTCCCCTAACAGGAAAGACCCCTGCGCGTGCGCTAAGATAATAAAAATAAAAATTAGACAACTGGTCTGCGATATCACCCTTTTATTTATTTACGCTCGCGATGTATTTGTATTTCCATGTGTACTAAAAATCGCCGAAATGACGCCATAAGCAAAGCCCCCCCCCCCCGCCCCCCACACCCCCCCCCCCCCACACACACACACACATACACATACACTTAACTGTTGGGTTATCAGATTTTTCGGGAAGACGTGTGAAAAAGAGAAGTATTAATATATCATCTAGTTGGCAAAATAAAGTGCACGAAATCTAATAATACACTAATTCTACTTCTCTTTCCAAATGAATTCCGTGATTTTGTACTGAATTGACTAGGGATTAAAATATTTTTTCCTTAGCCAATATGCCTTCTGCGAAATTTTTCGGACATGGATTATTATTTGTGAATGTATCTGCAACAGTCTGATTGGATGATCGTATTTACGGATTAGAAAAGCGGGAAAACGCGTTTGTTGCCGTCAAATTTTCAAAATTTTCTCCCATCGTAAGCAAGACGTTAAGCACCATAATATTGTTGTGGTCGTATACCTGAGCAACTAAAAGAACAATTTATTTTTTAACTATTAAAGCGACAACTATCAGCTCTTTATCTAATCTCCCATAATGTCACTTTAAATAATTAGAATCACCCAGCATGATGAAAAACAGCTGTCAATTAACCCTGTTATCTAACTCTAGAAAATACAAGGAAAAATAGGAAGAAACTCGTCTAAATTAACCAGATACGCTGGCAAGCTTATCATAGACAAAACATTAATTACTGATAAGGTAGATAGAACAAAAACGGTTGTTTATTGCACAATTAGTTTGCAGATTTGTAAATTGAAAAATGAATTTTACAAACAAAAAGAAATATAACAAAATATCAAATCAGCGCCATCAGACAGATACCTAAAGCCTAGCTCACAACCCGCTACGACGGGCAGTCTACGGAAAGCGCCCTAACTTAGGCAGTATTTTTCCACACACATAAATGTAACTACGTCAATTTGAAATCGGTTAGTGATAAATAAGGGGGAGTGAGGGTGTGCTTTATTCATATCCGTGAAGTAACCGACACGGCTGACCCAAATTTAAATGCGTTTTGTTGGAACCAAAAGGCGAAATATCGTAAGTAAAAACTGTAATCTATACAGAAATTAAACATACTATACACACCAACTTATCAAATAAGTAGAACCTAGGGGTTTAACGTCGACGAATACCAGTGGAGAAACCAACGGCACTCGATTCACCGGCAGTAAAAGAAAAAAAAATATGTTCGGAGACTACCGATGACATTTTTGTCAGATTCTGCGTGAAAAACTCGAATATAAATGGTTTCATAGTTACCTTGATTCCACATCCTGTAACCAGAATATTGCCGCTGAAGAGGATTTTAATGCGTTTTCTTTATACACTTTTACCACTAAATAACCCCCCCCCCCCCCAAAAAAAAACAAACAGAAATACGGATTCAAGTCAAAAGTACGACGCAACATCGCTAGATTACACCGCAACACGAGCCTACAATGGATGAATGGGCCCCACTGTCCAGGACTTTGAAAATCCGATGAAGTGAAAAATAAATAACAAAGAGCTCGTTATTCGCTGCTTGAATAACAATTTGGATTGTTTTTATCTAGAAGTCGTTTTAATGTGTTTTATGCTACTGGTGAATAATGAATAAGAACAGCATACCCGTATATTCCCCATGTCAAAATATGTAAAATCTGTTAAATGTTTGGATATGTAAAAATACACACAAAAAGCGGCAAATGTCTTTTTCTAAAAATATTCCTACGCTTAATTATAAATTAGCCATGACAAATATCGATAAGACAAGGCTGTTATCGAAAACGTTTGCTGATGCTAGTAGAGATAAAAATCCAGAACTATTCAATAAATCTTGGTCTAAAGGAATAGTTCCGGACGACTGGAAAACAGCAACGATAACCCCCTTGATTAAGCCGTGTAAGATAAAAATGAAACCGGTTCTTACAGACCGGTAAGTTTGAATTCTACTTTGTGCAAAACACTTGAGACAATGGTAAAAAAATAGGCTAACATATTATTGTGAAAGTAATGGATGCA